CTCTAGGGCTAGGAGATAAGGACTCACCTGGCCCCTGGAAACCCGCAGGGTAAGCTTTCCACTACTTCCTGCCGGCCACAGGCTGTCGTCAAACACCCACTCGTCTGCCTGCTTCAGCAACCCAGATGGCACCGTCCCGAGGACAGCCCCACTCTCCCGTGGGAGAGGTTCAGTGACTTCAATTCTCCTTGGATTGTAATTTCTCTTCGTACCCTACAAAGTGTAGCGTTAGCCAGCTGAATATCTGGCCATCCTCCTGCGGAACCAGGGTTCCCCTGATCTCCTCTAGACGAGCCTAGCCCTTTCATTGATCAGCTGTTCACTCTACCCTTCTTTTCGGTCCTTTCTTGCACAAGACGGGCTCGGTCCGACACTTCCCAGCTGCACAAGTCTGGCACATTCCCTCTGGTTTGCAAGAAAGTTTCCTGCGAGCCATTGTACGGCCTGTGCGTTTTGAATGACACCTCCGCCTCCACCAAGTTTGCGTCTAGCCACAAACTGTATCTGGCCGATTGAAATAGGGGACTGGTACTTGCTTTATTTCCTACGTGGGAGAACTGGATTTGTTCTCTTCCCTCTGATCATGAGGATAGTGCTCTGCCTATGTGTTCAATCAAAAGCTTGGCAGAGAACAGTAAGAGGTAGGGAGAAAATTATAAGGGAAAAAAAGGTAAAAGGGCGGGGGGGACAGACAAGGTTATTCATTACCCAGTGGTCACGCCGAAATCTGTAGTTGCCAACTCCACCCCAGCCATCAGTGACTGCAGGGACCTGTGTCTACAGTCCAACAGCCAGGGAACACCGCACAGGACAACAAGAGCTTTCAAACACATTCTGCCTTTCCCCGAGCCTAGCGCTATTTACTGCTTTTTTGTAAGGATAGAAATACTAATGAGAGGCGATGAAAACATGGTCATGGAATGGCAAAGTCTAAGTAAACACAACAGCAAGTTTGAAGTAACCAAGTTATAACCCAGAGAGGGTTAGGCCATTTCTAGAAAAGAAAAGAAAAGAAAAGAAAAGAAAAGAAAAGAAAAGAAAAGAAAAGAAAAGAAAAGAAAAGTCATCTGGCTGGATGCAAACTTTCAAATTCCCTCAAGCCAACTTTGCAACCAAAACAAGAATACAGGCACTCCACTGCCTAGTTAGAAGTTTACCAGTAAATACGTTTATTTCCCATCCCATCCCCCAGTGAGGTTTGAAGCAGACGGGCGGGGGGTGGGGAGGCGGGGGTGTTGCCTACATTTCTAAATTCCACCGCGGCAGAAGAATAGAAGTCAAACTTTATTTTTATTGTATTTTGGAAAGCACTTGATCTTTGCTTGGGAAACTCTATTAATTGAATGGGTTTGCCTTTTTGCCAGGTCTCTTTATCATTATTTATGGGCTTTAAATTGTTTAAAGTTCCCTTGACGTTCAATTTACAAGTTTGGGGACTTTTTTTTTGTTCTGCCTTTTGTCCTCGAGAAAGACATCGTGTTGGCAGGGCTTTGAAACGCCAAACATGAGAGGCTTGCCCGTGAAAAGGGAGCAGGCTAGATCGCTTTTAATTCCACCCTGTTAGTGAATGGCTCTTTTACATAATTGCAGGAGCTGTTTCAAAGCCAAGCCAGAGGCTGACTTCACTTAGAACCGCATGGAGTCTATTTTGGGCTTTCAGATTAAAAAAAGAAGACGAAGAAGAAGCATGAATAAAATCGTTTAAAAAGATGAGGCTTTAATGCTTTGCCATTTGCAAATTGGTGTGTCTGATGGGGGATTTTACACAAGAACCCCTTTGTGAGCCCATCGTGGACACTTGAGGGAGTCTTCTAGGTTAGCTGGATATGAATGCAATCGCCCTGCCCCTAAATAAAACCATCCCCAGCTATTTCCCAACGCCTTCCCAGGAAAGGTTGCAATAATGATTGACTGATCCGGGCGTTGTAAAGAACCCCCAATAATAGTAGTTCCCTGAAAATCCAACACATTTCCCCGGGCAAATGGTGCTGCTCTGTTAGCCAAGCAAGAAGTGCAGAGCGGCACCGCAAGCAAAAGGAAGAGTGCTGAAAGCAGACATTCACATGCTGCCTATGTGCTGTGTTTCCTTTAGTTATTTCCTCTCCAATCCCGGTAACATCAGCAAACGACCAGGTGGGCGCTTCCTCCACCGAAAATTACAGGAATCCACATTAAAGTTCCCTCTCCCTGCTTGTGTTCAGCTAGAAACCAACCACTTACATGCCGTTAACTCCAGGCACTACACACCTACATGCAAGAATATGCACGTTGAAATAAACAAAATCTGGCGTTGCTATAGAGACTTCTGAGCTGGTGCCCGGGATGCTGACTAACACTGGCCTCTACCCGGTCTAAAATTGGTGTCAGGAGTGTTTTCGTGACCTTGTAGGCTGTAAACTTTGCTTACGGACAGAGTGCTTGCTTTACCGAAAGAGCTAAACTTGTGCCTGGCTTGTGAAGCTTCGGTGGCTTTCCTGAAATGATTTTTGCTCTTCCTCTGCTGATCGAAGTTGCAAAGGAATATATGCAAATTGGCTTGCATACAGAGCATGAGAAGAATAGACTGCGGCCCTCTGCTAATGATTTAGATAGATAGATAGATAGATAGATAGATAGATAGATAGATAGATACTGGTTAATCTGTACAAGGAGCAGACTAAAAACTGTAAAGGATTTTATTATCTGCAGTCCTCAAGCTTTAAACGCATTGCAGATAGTTTGTGGTGGCTGGGATCGATCTTGTTAATCACTACAAAACTCAAGGATACTTTTATGACACGTACAGTCGTTTTCTAAGCAGTTAAACATTAAATGAGAAAATATTACTTTTGCGTTTTAGGAAAAGCACACCAGTAAATAAAAACGCCCGTTGATGGGGCTATGCCGGAATCCCTATACAACAAGCCCTCTGCCGTCGATATCTCCAGGAGCACTTTATAGATGCAAATAATATGCCATAAAATTATTCTAAATGTGGAGGTACTTGGAGGGGTTTTAAATCGTTTGGTGAGTGACATTTAAATACAGAATTATGGCAATTTTCGCGAGACATCGAAAGTTCCCACCATGGTATTTGAAAGTAGGATTTCAGAAGTTTGTTTCTTGATTGATTGGAAATATTTGCTCGCCTGGCGATTTAAAAATCAACTGATGGGCACATCTGTGACAAGTGCCAGGGCAAGATAAACCAAACAACTTTCAGAAAGATTAAGGGGCTGTCATAACTATTTTGAAACGCCAGTAAATGGGTGAATTGCTGTGGTATTTCAATGGGTGGGATTATTTAACTTCCTCCGGGCTTCAGAGTTTCTATTTGGATTTTGACTCAGGTGACATCAGTAGATTCTGAAGTAGTTTTTCATGTGAAATGTAATTGTCTACTGCTACCCACAGAGTCGTGCCCCCTCTGCCTGCGCACTCATAACGAATTAATGTAAATATACACGGTGCTCTAAGGGATTCCCTCCAAATATGCAGGCATTCGGACGGCTCTCCCGGTACACTTACCAGATGTCTTTAAAATGTGCTGGGGGATGTTTGTGTTCCCCCTTCAGGATAAAGTCTGCAGCGTTACAGACAGTCCGGTGTGATGCAAAGTGGATTTCCCCCCATCACGTAACCTCGCTGGAAAAATTATACTTGGGATGAAGATATTCCCTAGTGTGCCATAGAGTTAGGAGTCTGGGAGAGAAAAAGACAGACAGATTTGCAAAGAGTTGGATCGATACTTTCATAAATATCGATTTGCCTTTATCTTCCAATTAAATGTTCATGTAAAAAGACTCCCATCACAAGGGTAACAGCACCCATCTCTCTGATCACTATCTCGGTTAAGGTTTCAAAAGGATGATATCCGCCCCCCTCAGCTTCTGTCCTATTGCAGCTGTTAAAACGGAACAGCAAAGCATTGGTAAATCAGTGGGGATCTGTTCAGTAGATCTGTTTGGCTTGTACACCGGTTTGACTTGTATTATCCCCGGCTTAGGTTCCCGTGGAATCTTTTATATTTTAATCTTAGTTTTAAGAGAGAGAGAAATCAACTTTTGATAACCTTTTAATCACAGAAAATCAGCCCAGTGAAAGACAGTTTTAAGCCAGTAGGGGCTACAGCTCATTATTATTAAATCTTCCTTTTCCTACTAACTAAGCGGATCTCCTGTTCTTTTTTTAAAAAAAGAAAAGAAAAGATCATTTAATTAGTGCATGTTTTCAAAAGTGGGGTTTTGTTTGAACAAACATCGTAAAGCCTCCATCAGGCTCCAGCGATATCATCAGGCGACCATTTCAAGCCCCCCGCTTCTCCCTGAGGACCGACCACATTAAAAAAACCAACAGCCTCTCCCTTTATTATCGTAATCCCCCCTGCCGTTAGTGTGGGTGGGTGCGTGCCCGGAAAAGGTGTATTAGGGTTTCAAAAGACCAGGAAGAATTTAAAAACAAAACAAAACAAAACAAAAACCAACCCCCGAAGCGGGGCTGTTCTCCGCGAAAAAGGGAACACAGCGAATTGGTGGGAGGAGGAAAGCCCCCCGTGCAAACCATCCGGGACTTCTCCTGCCCCCTGTGAAACAAACACAGCATCAACCCGCAGCTGCATCCCGAGCCGGGCTCAGGGGCCGGGGGACTTTCCTTTGCCGGCGCGGCGCGGAGCAGAGCCCCTGGGCCCCGGGGCGGCTGCCGGCGGGGCCGCTGCATGTGCCTGGGGCCGGCGGAGGGGGGCCCCTCGGAAGTGTTAATGGCTTTTCACGAGTTTGCCCGGGACGCGCGGGCCGGTCCCTTCGCCCTCGGCATCTCTGACCCCGCCCCGCCCCCTCGGCCGCGGCGGCTGCCCAGAGCCCGGCTCCGGCGGGGAGGCGGGGCCCAGGCCCCGCGCCCCGCCCCCGTCCCCCGCCCCCGGCCAATGGGCGGCCGGGCGGGCGCCCACGTGAGGCGGGCAGCGGGTCGGCAGCCGGCAAAACGTGAATGGGAGAGGAGAGCGCAATTTAAAGGTGCTGGCGGCGCCCGGAGAGAGCCCCGCGCGCTCCGACCCAGGCAGCGTCTCCGCGGCCGCCTCTGCGCACCGCCCAGCGGGGCCCCAGGAGCCGGCGAGGGGATGCCCCCGATGCCCCCCAGCAGCACCGGAGGCGGCCCGGCGTCGACCCCGGCCTGACTCCTGTCTCTCTGCCCTGCACCCCCCGGCCCGCCCCCCTTCCCCCAGCCCGCGCGGGACGGGGCGCCTGGATCTGCCCGGCTCTGGCTGCGCGCCGCGGGACGGGCCGCCTGCTCCTGCCTTTCTGCTCCGCCGCCTCCGGTCCCCAGCAGCTCTATGAGCGCGGCTTTCCAGTCCTCCCTCATGATGATGCAGCGCCCCTTGGGAAGCAGCACGGCCTTCAGCATAGACTCTCTCATAGGCAGCCCTCCCCAGCCCAGCCCGGGCCACTTCGTCTACACCGGCTACCCCATGTTCATGCCCTACCGGCCGGTGGTCTTGCCCCCCTCCGCCCCCGCCCCCTCCGACCCTCCCTCAAGCCTCGCTGCAGCCCGCCCTGCCGCCCTCCCACCCCCACCACCAAATCCCCAGCCTGCCCCCCGGCTTCTGCTCCAGCCTGGCCCAAGGGATGGCTCTCACCTCCACGCTCATGGCCACGCTGCCCAGCACCTTCTCCGCTTCCCCGCAGCACCAGGAGGCGGCCCGGAAGTTTGCCCCCCAAGCTCTCCAGGGCAACTTCGACAAGGGCGAAGGGCTCGCGCAGGAGAACGAAGAGGGGAAATCCTTCCTGGGCAAGGAGAGCTCCCTGCTGTCATTCGCCGCCGCAGAAGCCGTGCAGGCTTCCCTGGGTGAGTGGACAAATGACTCTTCTGGGCGCTCAGTTAGAGCAAGTTTTTACTCCCTTTCAGTGAAGCCGGGGTGTGTGTGGGGGAAGGGTTATTGCCGGGGTGTGGGGGGAGGGTTATTGCCAGGGGATAAGGACAGATCGTGTGTGTGTCCAGCCATAAAATAACCATGTCAATTTCACAAATTTAGCAATTCCATTCCATCGAAATAGGTGATCTCCAGCTACTTTTTACTAGGAAATAAACCCCTCTCCCCCACTCAAATCCTGGGGGAGGTGGTGAGTCTCACACATTATTTCCAAAGGAATGCACTCGACAAGGGTTGATGAGCTATAACACTGCAAAGCGCAACCTTATCAACCTGAAAACTTAAAATCTATGTCACATGTAATTACTACAGTCTGTCTAATCGCTATTTATAACAGCGCTGGCTGTGCTGCAGGAGGCCAGTTGGATTTTACAATTGATTTCAAGCGTTTAAAAAAATCGCACGCAGGAAAGAATCATCTCTGAAATATTTAATCCTTCCGGGGAAAGATGTCTTTTCCAGAGAGAACTAATCTCGGTTTCAACACTTTCTTCCCATTGTTCACAGTGCTATCCAAAGAGGAAAAGTTTAAGTACTTCCCAAACAAATTAAGTTTCCCTTTCTCCGTTTTTTGAGAGGTTTTCCTCCCACTGTTACAAAAATATTGGCAAGTGAAATATACATGGCTACCAGTAGCTGCATGCAGAGAACTGTCTCTTCAATCTTGTGTTGTGGCAGAAGGTAACATTTCATAAATCGGCTTGGTACGAGGCTATGGGGGATGGTGGCTGCTATTCCAACAAATGATGAGAAAATATCGGCCAGGGGAGAAGTGTTGAAACGGGCAGTGAGAAATTCAGTCTAAAGGAAACAGCTACATGTCCCGAAATGTTACTTTATGTCTGCCAAGATCGGTTTTCTCTTTCCTCCCTATAATCCCGCTTGCTTTCATCAAACCCGGATAGATCTTCCTCCCCTGAATAAATAGAGAGACATAAATCGAGGAGGATTTAATTCAGTAGAACTAAAATTTATGCTGGAAAATGTTCTGGGACGTCTGCAGAGCTAGCCGTGCAGAATGTAACGAAATGCCTTTGGTTTGCTTTCAGTAGGGGCTGGCCGGGCTCAGGCCAAAGATGATTCCAAAGCGGAAGACGACTCTAAAGGCAAAGAGGAAAGTTTCTCGATGGACAGCGATCTAGATTATAGCTCTGATGACAATATCACAAGCCAAGCCGCTCATAAAGAAGAGGACTCTGGCAACGCACTAGAAGAAAACACCCAGAGCACAAATAACTCAAACACCACCACATCCACTGGCAAAAACAGGCGTAGGAGAACAGCCTTTACCAGCGAGCAGCTGTTAGAGTTGGAAAAGGAATTTCATTGCAAAAAGTACCTGTCTCTGACAGAGAGATCCCAGATCGCTCACGCCCTCAAACTCAGTGAAGTGCAGGTCAAAATCTGGTTCCAGAACAGAAGAGCCAAGTGGAAAAGGGTGAAAGCCGGCAATGCCAACTCGAAGACAGGAGAACCATCCAGAAACCCCAAGATCGTCGTACCCATCCCCGTCCATGTCAGCAGATTTGCCATCAGAAGTCAGCACCAGCAGCTGGAACAAGCCAGACCCTGATACATTTTCCACTACCCCTCCCCCCCCATCCAAAAGTTTTGATCAATGTTTCGAAATCGGGTTAAAAACAAACACACACAAACTTTAATCTGAACCTTTCGACATATCAAGTAAAGCAAGAATCTATTAATGAGGCTTAAAACCTGTGTTTTGTTTTGGAGCGGGAATATCAAACCCTTGAAGAGACCTAATAAATATTTATGATACTGTCCTACCTTGTGTATAAAGTGCTGGATGTCAGCTGCAGTGTTTTGACTCTTTTGGGACCCAACAACCAGTGACATGAATTCTGACATTCCAGAAGAACAACAAAAACTGCAATGCCTATTACCCATCTTTGGGGTTTTGTTCCTTATCATTTTGAAAGGTAAAAATGAAACAAAACTAAGAGGTTTGTTTTCCCTTTTTTGGGTTGGCTGAGTGGCAGACATTTGGGTGAATTATTTTATTTTATTTTTGCCTGGCTTTCTGTCGATTTGGTTGCATATTCTACTAAGCCATGTTTGAAAAGCACGATCCTCTCTATTGTGTTTAATTTATTTCAATGTAGCTTTTTCCTGATAAGTTATGAAATTTAAAAAGAAACTCAGTCTTGTGAATAAACAAAATCAAAAGCGAAAAAGAAAAAACCCAACCGACTTCTGTACCGAATTTCTTGTGTGAGAGTGGGAGCATTTTCCCTCCTAGGACAGAATCAGTTTAGGTATGGGTCCTCTGCTTCTTAAAGGTGAGGTTTATTGTCAATGGGAAACATTTCGCAAAATACCTAAAGTTTAACTCTGGGGGAAGGGAGAGCTTGCCACCAAGGTGATAGCTGAGTTTATGGAAGCGAATTTAATCTATAATAAACAGTCAACAAAACCCTGCTGAAATGGATGTTATAGAAACAGGCTGGCATTGTAGAACCTAGTCCAGGAGGGAGCTGACCAGAAGGGAATACGGTAGCCATGCCTGTGATTCTAGGTACCTTGAATTGAAAAGGATCAGACAGGTCTTCTGCCCCCTCCGTAAATATTCAACACACACATACCCATGCACCGAATTACCTGGCGCTTTAAAACCAGCCAGTACTGAAAAGTCTGTCAGTGAACTGTTCTGATTTTACTTCTGCTCCAGTTGTGTGCAGGGTTACTGTGGCGTGTCAGACAATGAGAGAGATGCAGGCAGTTTACTCCTGAAGTGGGACTGACTTTGTATTGTTATCTGACCTGCCGCGCTGTATCTGATTAACGCTCTAGGAAATTAACAGGGCCAAGTCAGTATCTATTCGCTGCCTACGATCTGTCTGATTAGGAGGAAGAAAAACTGCAACCCCGCAACGTTGTCAGAACTGTGGAGGGTCTTTAGTGATATTTAAAAGCAAAGCCCCCTGTTCACCCCCAAAGTTGTCATGATGCCACACTAATTGGGATGCGCACAATGCAATAATCTGTAACGACATGATAAAAATGACAATATTCCGCTAAAAGCTCAGCCAAAATAAACCCATCGAAATGGGGCATTTTTCTTTTCCACACGATTTTGGGATTAGGAGACCAGAACTTGTTTCCGCCTGGTTATGAGCATACACATCAACGGTTGAAACATATATTTGATTGTCTACTCTTCCCCGCCCCCTTCTATCGAAAGCTTGTTTGCTAACAAAAAGACTTAGATTATTAACAATCATTGGAGCTAAATACTACCTTTCCTCCCACCGATATTTAAACAAAAATATTGTCTCTATCACTCGCCTATAACGCATCTACTGTGGGCATCAGGGACAGAGGCGACCTACAAATAGAAAGACAGGAATTAAAAGCGTTAATTTGCTAAATAAAATTAAAAACAAACAAAAAAAGCAACCAGCTCCTAACTGGCTGTGAAAGTGGACAATTAAGGGGAGCTGCAAGGAGCAATTTGCTATGCAGATAGCACTCAGACTTCTAGTTTAAGCTTCAGTGAGTAAATCAAATGTTCCAGAAGGTCAATACCAATATTGACATAATTTATATCAGTTGCACTTCATCATATATATTTTTTTAATGCTGGGGTTTAAATTGCATTAGAACGGTCTGGAAATGAAGCTTTGTAAGGACACAGCATCTTGTTTGTGGTTTCCCTTCTAAACTGCCCCAAAAATATTCCAAGTAAGTAGCCTGATCAACATCGATTTTTTCCCCTTTTGCACTAGGACTATATTATTTATAATGACTGATAAACGGCTTAGATGGATTAAAAGAGAATGATAGGAGAGGGTCATGAATAGATAGCCTACATTTGAATCATGGACACTGAAAGGACAAGGCCAAATATTTCGGCACCAGCAGATAATGACTGGAACTTTAAAAAAAAATCTATGGATACAGAGGCTTTGACCTGAATCACACCTCATAGAAAACAATTTATAGCCGCAGAGGCATTGAAGGAATAAAGTGTGACTGTGAGCGGTGTATCGCATGGATGTGGGTTGTTTTAGGGGAATAAAGTGCAGAAGGAAAGGAATTGCTGTCATGTACCTGTGCTCGTTAGGCAAGGGGCTGGTGTACGTCTGCATGGAATTTGGAGCGTGGGGATTCGGTGTGTGTGGCTATATATAAAACCCAGGTGCAGTCCCCGTACAGTTGTCAAACACATACTTGACACACCCAGATCAAGCAGAGAAATGTATGAGCTAACCGCACCCCCTGGAGAAGTAAAAAGAAAGTATGGGAAGTATAAAAATGCGTAGCCCCATGACAAACCCTAAATTTTCAATACATGATCTCTATGTATTTTTAAGCGATGCCAGAAGCACTATAGTGCAATCTTTAGTCTACAAAGGGAAGCGCAGACACTTATGTGGCTGCCGTTTGTCCCTTCTTAGAAAACCCTGAAAATAGAAGCTCAAGTCGCTTAAGAAGTTTTCCAGCCGTCCTTAGCTGGGAGGAATGCGAGAATGACGCGAGCGCTTTGGCTTGGGGTCAGTTACACCACTCCAGAGCTGGGAGGATTTCATCTGAGCAAAGAACAGCTGTTCTTTGCCCCTTTTCCGCCAAGGGGGCTGGGAGGGGAGAGACACACGCGACAGTAAATACAATAAAAGTACGCAGCTGCCAAATGCTTAGCAAAGTTACTTACCAATCAAGTTTTTTTTCCCCCCACCCAAATAAAATAGCTGCAAAGTATGTGAGAGAGAAAGGGAGATACAGGGCTTGAGGTGCCCTGAAGTGGAAACAGGGACAGAAGAAAAGAAGATAAACAAGTGAGGGGGGTTGATAGCTGTCATCATCACCACGATCATGGCTTTCATTTGGCTGCCTAATGAGTCAGATCACAGGCAGAGAGAAAAATTGTCAATCGCCCAGGCTCTAATGAATTTTTTTGCAAATTGTAATCAAGCCAGGCCGTCTCAGCTCGCTGATTAATGAGACCCAGGAGGCTTGGCCAGCACCTCAGCTTTTTATTCCATCCCGTCCTCCCTGCACTAAATTAACAGCAACTTGTCTGAGCTTCAAATTAACTCCCAATGATTAATTCTGATGGGGGGGCCTGAAGAATAGCTCGTCCTAATAGGCACTGGCCTGTGATGCTGTTTGAAATTAATCCACTTCCCCTTTGGCTGCCTGCTTTAATCCAAGGTTGGGGTTTGACATCACTATATTTGTTGTTACAATAAATTCCAGTTACATCTGCAGCTCAAATCATTACAGTGCCTCAGTCATAGAACAGAAATCGGGGCCCAAGCTGACCAGCCCAAAGTTGGGAGTTTTCTCCAAGCCATTCGCAGCTCATCTGGCCCTCTTATATGACACTTTATTATAAAATATTAGATTTTTTTCCAAAAAGTAAATTTACCACTAATTCTCATGCAAACAATCCCTCTCATTTCTTGGTGCGATGCTATTTTATTAGATCAGATACATGCATTTTCAATACACTCCTGGTCTTTATAATCATCTCATTAGGAAAATGATGGGGGGGGGGATTATTTTGGTAGAAAATACTCCCCACCACCCCTACCACACACACACGAGGCACCTAAAACAAAGCTATCAGAAGAGGCTAGGCTTTTTGCCACGCTAGAGCTGTGCTTAACTGACAAGCAGAGTGTGTTTAAACTTAGCAACTTTCATTGCACTGATGTCAGGGAAGCAGGAGAAAGGGCTAACTGGCGTTCTGTTAGAGGTGTCATTTCAAAAGGAAAGGTACTAACATTTTCCCAGTGATCAGGAAAGCTTGTGTAGAGGGTCTGCTACCACTCGAATCCTTGTGTCCAATTTGGGTTTAATACTCCTACACACCACAACTATTTCTTTAGTCCTTGAGCGAGCAGGTTTGGATTTATTATTATTATTATTATTAACATGACCTCCCATCTCTTCTTGGTGGTGATCTTTAGGTTCCCCATTGACTGCGTTTCCCACTTGTGTTTTTATAGCTTTGATGACCATCATTACATGTTGTATTATTGTAAACTCATCGTGCTATTCCCTATATTGCATGCAATTTACCACTACACATATGTCTCTGGGGCAAACACATCTGTTCTAAGAAGTCGAGACACCTCCCCCCTCCGAAGGGTCAGACCTCTCTTCCATCTTGTTTCTGTTTGTATTGACTTAATTGGTTTAATTATTTCAGCTGTGATTGGCAATACTCAGCATTGTACCTTTTTAACTGCCCCAGGGGTCTGCCAGTGATCTCTGTCAGAAGGATGCAGATTGCTTAGCCATCCTGCAATTTACAAAAGTCCCTTTGTGCTGAAGCATTGAGATAAAAGTAGAACTGTTCGCTTTCCATTGGAAACGCGGGATGAATTTATTATCCCAGACCCCAGCAAAGGTGGTGTGTGGGAGGGGAGATTATGCTTTCGCAATTAATTTATTATTATCTGTCGCTGATTGTCTTCTCAGGCAGTGGGGGAAAGTAACCCGACTGGCCTTCAGCGGACAACGCAATAGGTTGGAGATTTGGAAGAGATGTTTGCAAATAGTCGGTGGCCAAACAGAAAGGTTAAAGCAGCAGGGACAGAAACCCACGCGAAGCAATGGCTCATAAGGGCCAAAACAGAAGTAAAACTGAACCAAGCTTGGCATTCTTATGCCTTTTCC